GAAAACAGAAAAAGAATACTGGCAAGTTTTACCGGAACTGCGTCATCAAATTGTGAAGATAAAAAATATAAGATAAGGCGAGAAAAGGTTTGTATTTTGAATCAATAATAGAGAAGAGTAAAATTCTTGACATACCTACACCGTGAAACATACATTAACAGATCATAGGTGAAATGAAATTGGTTTGTATTTTGCATAACCATTATAATGATCCTTTTATATATATATATATATGTGTGTGTGTGTGTGTGTGTAAAAGAACCGTGCAAATCTTTCAGCATATGGAATGGTGGCTACACCAACTTACGGGAGGAAAAGGGAAAAAAATTTAAAATCAAAAGAATAAATATAGAGATCAATAAATAAAAACATACTCGAAAAATAATATAAAATCTAATCTAATCTAATAACTCTCGTATTTCTACGAAGAAAATCAAATCTTTCATCATATAAAATCAATTATAAGATTATTGAAGCAGACAATCCTCTTATATACTCTATCATATAGATCTCAAAAAAATTACATATTTTCTCTTATCATGAAATCCTAGATAGGCAACCTAAAAAGAACCTTAATAGCACTCAAGATATTTATCGCATTTTGCTCTCTCCCAACACATTAAATATTTATAAAAAAAATAAATCATAATTTTTAAAATTTTCTTCCTCTATAAAAACTTCTTCTCATACTAGAATTTTTTGTTTTCCTATAACACTAACTCCATAAAAAATTTAAAATACTTATCGATCCCAGCAAATCACTGCTTGTCAATCCCAACACATCATTGCTCTTCATTGATGAAACAAAAATTATAAACAAGAAGAAAAATGATCAAAAATGAAAAATAGAGCATGGAACAAAATGGAAAGTAAGCTGGAACAAAACTCTGCTCGTAAAGAACAAAATCCGCAAGCAATTAATCTATAAAACTAGAAAGTCACATCACGGATATCAAGCCGCATCACCAAAAAGACAGTCTGTTCTCTGTTTTTTGCTTCAATAAGCTGGAACTAGCAAACACCAAAGCATAAGGAGTCGATGCATTGTCTAAAATGTACTGGCACTGTGGAATATAGTCCGGGTTCACAGAGGAGCACTTGAGGTTGCTCTCTGCTTGTATTCGCTCAGGTGAATTCTGGGAAGTGTATAGCTTTTCACATAAGATTTCCAGCTGTGCAAAGCTCTCCATGGGGAGAAAACAAGCAAAACTTCTGAGTTTTCAGTTGATCAAGAGTCCAGGATTAATGATGTAAGGTGGCTCTCCTTTCCACCTAAAATCGAATCACGTCTATGAATTCCGTCAAATTCTGTAACAGTTAAGTCGGAAATTATGCAAGCCAAAGATAATATATACAGTCAAATGCAATAAATTATGGTACCAACAAAATTGAGAAACTGATATATTATAAAACTAGATTGTCACATTGACTACAAATGTGCAACATGAAATATATTTCAATAAAAAATATTTTGTGGTATACAATGGTCAAAAGAAACCAAATTTTAAAAAGGTCACACAAGAAAAGGCCAACATAGTAGATCATCTGCAAATTTGCCAAAATTGCAACCCATGGGAAAGCATGGATCCTGGAAAAATATTACAAAAATAATATTAGACATAAGAAAAGTCAAATTTTCAAATGTCCCAGATAGCAGCAAAGTTAAGACCATCTCAGATTCAAAAAGAATGCTGATTCAATATAGCTGTTTTAAAAAAAAAATTAGAAGATGCATCACTTACAATTTTCTTAACTATTTCATGGAGAGAATGCAAAATCTTTATCATGCTGGAAGAGTCCCTAACAACCACAATGTTAATAAAAGTTATTGGTATGAAAATTTTATATTTGTGTTTGTCAGTATGTCTAAAGAAACAACTGATAGGGTGGAACGTCAATTGTAAATGTACTTTGTTATTTAGGCATAATTAGTGTTTGTTGGATGCGAGAGACTTCTTTTTCTAATATTTCCAAAGAATCTATGTTTACAAGAATTACTAATTGCCAAAACAGAAGCAAAAGTTTCTCTGCTTGCATTATAAACATTTGAAGTTAACATTCTGCTATTATCAGCAAATGACTATGATACTAACATGCAAATTTCACCATTAAATATCAAAGCCCTGGTGAAATTCTTATAAAGTGAGTTCTCCATGCAAGCATATGTTAATGCTCAATCTCCATCCAATACAAAAAATTAAGGAAAAACAAGGGCCACAGTCGGTTGATAAATGATCCATATAGATCCTAATTTCCTGAAGATACATAACTACTCTTAGATATAGTTCCAATATATGTTAGCATAAAATCTGTAATATGCTATATTAAATACAGAAATATTTTTTTTATGTCAGGATTGAAATCAAATAATATTAGATCTAGCTTTACGATGTGTATCTTTTGATGCCATTTGAAAAGGGATATCTATGTGATCTGTAAAGGCATCGTCTTTAGATCCAAGATCGTTGTCATTCTGTAAAGAAAATTAGATCATTCTCCTCTCTTTCTATCCTTGCACAGGACTAACTATTTTTTCATGAGATGCGTAACTTGCAGAGTAGAGGATCTATGATAAGTTTTTAGGAAAATTCCTCTCATCAAAAACATCCCATAACTAATCCTACTTTAATATGAATTTCTTTTCTATTAGTTAATATCTATCATCAGAATCTAATTAGTTCCATTATATATCTTATCCAATTATAAATAATCACAAAATCTAACAAACTACTCTTAGATATAGTTCCAATATATTTCGATTTGTCTTCAGCTACTTAAATTCCTCGCAGTTTTTTCTTTCATTCATCATCATGCTATGATTTTATATTTAGTGTTTAATATTTTAGACGGAAATCCTGATAAATTCTGGAAAAAAAAAAGGAAGCGAAAAAGCACCCTCAATGTGGTTCTTCCAGTATTCCTATTAGAGCTAAAACTGCTACTTGCCAATGTAGTGAACTACCATGTTTCAGCTCAAATAAGTTCTGAAACATTTTGCAGGCAAAGTAAGCAACAATAAACCTCCCGACACATCATTTACCTCATTCGGTTCAGATTTCATATAGAACTATCAAATCTTCCTAATATACCTAATTTTACCCAACTGCATTGAGCAGAAGAAAACTTGCAAGCTATGACTGCTTCTCATCACATGCCGCATGGGTGAACTTTTAATATACATAAGACGCCCTGCCTTTTAAGGCAGATAAACGAAGCTACTATATCTTCTCTTTCATGTTCTTCTTCGTTTATACCTCCTTTACGAATCAATTCTCCAGCACCACATGATCAGCATCTAACCGCCCAAGACAGAGAATGTAACCTTCCGACAGTAATGAAGACATAAAGAACACCTAAGCTCGAACATATTCCCAATTCCAGCATGAAAAGCTGGGTATTCGACCGTGCACAAAAGCCAAATCACCCTTCCCTTGCATACAAAGAAAAGAACCACCGATTATCCCAGCGAGATTTCCACATCAAGAATCCCGAAAACAACAATGCATCCGTTCTTCTAAATCCAAACGTCCAAGAACCGACTCATCGTCGAAACCCAAGAGTGGACGTCGGGTTTAGAAAGACGGAGGGAACGAGGCAGCGATCGATGCAAGATTCGACGATGACCGATCGAACTTTTCCGGAAAATGTTCGAGAAACATCCACAAAGAAAGACAGAAGGAAGGAAGGATAAAAAAGGGATTCGAGGAGATGGAATACGTTCCACTTGGCAAAAGGAGCGCCGCCTCGCCTCTCCTCTCATCGTTCTCTTGCTGCTCTTCTGGGTCGGGTGGAGAGACTCGATCCCTTGGAGAACGGGCGGTGGTCTGTTGGAGGAGATGGGTTTTAAACGGCGTCAATACCACGATGTCTTGTGGCTAATTTGTTGCGCTCGACCAAACTCACTCGCGCCGTTTGCAAACGAAGATTTCGTTATTATTATATTCTATTTATTATAGGTAACATTATATACAGTATATCTAAAAACTCGTTACTTATTCTTCTGTATATCTGGATGAGGCTTTCATATAGCAGGAAAGGTGCTGCCGCTGGCTTCGCTCGCTGTCCACCGCTCACCGCTCGTTCGTGCAGTCAAAAATAATCTGTTTTGGCTCGTTTTTGGACTGTTTTGGCATGTCACGACAGTCATGATGAGCGAAACGAATGTCAATCATCTCAGCACCCTGGAACCTCCGGGTGGCACATGATTGGATGAGACTTTTGTATAGTAGGGAAGGTGCTACCCCTCGCTTCGCTTGCTGTCTATCACTCGTCGCTCGTTCGTGCAATCAAAAATAGTCTGTTTTGGCTCGTTTTTGGATTGTTTTGGTCTATTTTTGGATCATTTTCGCGTAGCGAAACAAAACATCAGTCATTTCAGTACCCCGAAACCCCCCAAGTGGCATAGGACTATATGAGACTTTCGTATAGTAGAGAACGTGCTGCCCCTCGCTTCGTAAGTTTAATACCAAAATTTACATATATGTCTTACTTAGCCATTGAAAGAGTTGACGAGAAGATTAACAGATTAGCATTCACATAAATTTGATTAGCTGGTAGATATTACACACAGACATTATTGCGTTGAATCAATCCATTAAGTATATAAAATGACATCAATGTGTTGTCCCTCTAAACACGCACCGAAGAGAATAGCGGCAGAATTGGCCCAGACGCGCAGAGAATTTGGTTGACCTTTTCCTTCACAAGTGGCGACCGCATCGGAAGTGGTGGTGATGCGGCCGCCCATCAAGGCTAGCTTGTGGGCCCTCATCCCAACCCAACTTTGTGGTTGGTCGATTTAGTTGAGATTTTTTTTATTTTATCTATTTTCAAAAATGAAGAGAACGTATGAGATTAATGAATTAACAAAGTTTTTATCACCTAAAGTGAGATTAATTAACATCCAGATTATGAGTGAATAAAATGTATCCTAAAAGAGGCCTTTCATGATTTTATATATATATATATATATATATATATATATATATATATATATATATAATACCTTAATATAACTAAACACCTTGACACTTACCACCACAACGGTTGGAAAAAAAGCATCTAACAACAGTACTATTAAATAAACAGGCAGGAAAGAGAGAGAGAGATCTCCCATCCGTTCGATTCCCATCAGACGTCTAAAAGAGCATCCACTACATAACGCCCCACGATTCGAGGGTCGGAAAGCCTGGGAACAGCGAGTCGAAATCGGAGGTCGGTGGCACCAACGAGCCGGCGGAGACCGGCACGGGCTCTCCCAAGCCCAGGAAGACCGCTGACGTATCGAGCGTAGGCAGGAAGAGCTGCTGCGAGGGGTTGCGGGCGGCCACCGCGGGCAGCATCGGCGGCTCGCCCGGTTCCTCGTCGCCGAGCCGGACCCCGGTGACCCACTGCACCATCTCTCGGAAATTGGCAGGGTCGGCTTTGATGTATGTGGTCGGCGACCGCTTCGACGGGCGCGACCTACGCAGCCGTTTCGAGACCCTGGCCGCTGGTTGGGGGCCAAGGGGGTTCACCCGGCGGCAGACGGCGTCGGCCAAGGAGGGAGGATCGAGTTGGTGTTGGACGGGGAGGGGGTAAGATGAGGAGTGGATGTCATGGAAGGCGCCGGAGGAGGAGGTGTCGGAGGGGGAGATCCGGAGGACGCGGGCGAGGCCCTCGTTATCGCCGATGAAGGCCTCGCTGATCCACCTCGACTCCGGATGATACATCAACGGATCGAGCACCGAACAATCCTCCGACATGTTCATCATCCGGCAGGAGGAGCTTCTCGACGCATTCCAAGGCAATCTTGAGGAGGAGGAGGAGGAGGAGGAGGAGGAAGTGGAAGCGAAGGGTAGATGGTGATGAGAGTGGACTAGCAACCGTTTAAGAAGACGGTGGCCAGGGGCGGAGAAAGCGCGTGCATCGAACCACGTGTCCTTGACGTCTCTGGAATCGGATAACCGCGGTCAGTGTCGGAGGGGTTGGGTCTAACGTATTTAAATCTAATTTTCTGTACCGTAAATTACACTATAGATAAATAAATAAATAAACCGGAAAAGAAAATCTTTCACATCCTATCCAAAAAGTTACATCTATCAAAGAAATGAACAGAATGTTATAATGATAAATTATTAATATTGTTTATGTAACTTAAATGTTGAAGTTCTTAGGTGAGACATGATTTATTAACTAACTATTTATGAAGTAAAAGAAAAAAGAAACATTTTTAAAAAGAGAGATTCTTGTTTGTCTATTTATCAGTCCACTTTCAGCTAAAGGTAGTGTAAGTTTAGCAATGTAAACTAATCCAGTTTCAGCTAAAAGTGGTGTAGCTACAGACTAAGGTCAAAACCAATATTTTATGCAGCACATGAGACTCATCTTGATGCACTTACTCAGTATCACAACTGGCAGTAGTACTTTTAAGCTCCACCGATCTGGAATAACCTTGTTCTTTTCTATTCCCTATTAAACATCATGAAGTCAAAGACATGTATGACAGAATGGGCTGGAAAGCATACGAGGGATATATATTATCACCCGTTGGAACATTCCATCGACAAAACTCTTTGATCTTTCCAACTATACTAGCAAAGCTCATTAGAACTTGTATTATGTTTCCAGTAACAACTCTTGCATCAGCCTGTTTGTGGTTTCCAAACCAAATCCTAGAAACTCATGCAGCACTCGAATAGTTCACCTTGACTTCCTCAAGAGATAAGTTAGATATATTGATCAGTTTTCTTTCTGTAATTCTAGTTTCTGAACTAGCAATTCCTTCTTCATCTTATCCCCATAACTGAGATAAGCAATCAGAAGATAACCTCTCTCTGTCAACAGGATAAGACTGCATGTTGATGACAAGAGCAAATTCTAGAAACTCATCATAGCATGACTAGTAAAATGAATATTGATTGTTTGTCACTTTCACTTTGACTTCCTAAAATCCTTCCACCGTCTTGGCGTATATTTCTTTTCCCTACGGTGTCTCAGATTGTTGCATTCTTCAACACCACCATGGATTGTGATCGACATATTTAATACCAATACAAGTGTCAAGATTACCTTTTGTCTCCTCCTGTGACCCTGATGTCTCCTCTCCTCTCCATGGAATGGTTCAATGGTATCAAGGTGAGCAAACCTGAAGGCCTCCACTTGTCTCAGGGCAAGAAGCAGATAACAACAGGTTCCTTAATGGCCTCTTAACCTTCCTGCCAACCTGTTGGCATCTGCATCCAATATTATGATGACAAATAGATTAAAAATTGCTGTAGTTTTGTTGACTTTGGGGTGCAGGTGTCAGTCGTTCGAGCCTCATGTGAGGTTTGCCTAGTGGTGCTGATTGGCATAGCTTCAGGAAGGTCAATGAATGGCTACAGAAAAAAAAAAATGTATTGGTACTGAGAGATTCCACCCACCTTTTTCATATAAAAAGGGACTTTTCTTTGGGGTTTGGCAGTATGACTAATTGTCACATTCCTATGTCCTGTGGTATGGTCTGGCAATTGAATAATGTCATCTGTGCATTTGATTTGATTTGATTCCTTTCGGAGGTAATTGGGCCCAATTGTATCTGAATTGTGATTTAAAAGAAATGTTCTCAGAGAATCTGGAATTTAGTGTCAAACCCACAGGAATGTGTACCCAAAGAACACACTGTTTGAGGGGAGCAGGAGGAGCCAGGTTGGTATATAATATAATATATTGGATTGACTCCCAACCCATAAAACTCCTAAACAATGACAATATAAGATTGTATTTTAGCTATATAGCTAGTTCCTGAGAATGGTCTAATGATTACTGTTTAAAGATTAGTAAGTATTCATTTTTCTTTTTGCATTTTTTTCTTGATGGAGATGATTAGTGGAAGACCAGTAAAAATATGATTTTTATTAAAGAAAAAAATCAGACAAGAAAGATAGATACTCTTCTCTATTGCCAAGTGATTCAATTGATGAACAAAACACTCTACTTAATCTGACAGACTTCCTCTTCATGAAATCTTTAGATTTCCAAGGAGCTGAGGAGGAGTCTGATTCATGTGAGATGTTAAAAGACAATTTGAGTTTCTAGTCCACGTAGGATTCGTTTAGTGGCATAGCATAAGATGACACAACTATTGTGGTCTTATTTGAGAGACAGAAAGAAACAATATCAATAAATGAATGGTGGCTAATAATAATTAGGCAACTGCTCGACCGCTCAAAACCAAACAAAGAATTATAATGCTCGTTGACGTACCTAAAATCCTTTATCACGTTTTTTTCCTCAGTGCGTAAAGCATTTTTCTCACTCCATATATCACAGACGTGACAAATTGGAAATTTTGATCAAGCTGGTGTCATCTTAAGAAATCATGATTACGCCTTGTTGCTACTATGCCAAATTCTTCGACGATTCAACAGTACACCTCCTCTCGTCATACGTTGCGCATACAGATTCATTCATTTATTGAGGCAATTGTTTTAGATCACATCGATCTAGAAAGAGGACCAGTGATACACAAAAATAAAATATATAAACCATGACAGTCACAGCAGTCGGAAATGTACAAAGGAGAAGCAACATGAAACACAAAAGTCAAATGACAAGTGTCAGCTGTCACAATCAAACTTACACATCACTTTAGTAAAAATTTCCTATCTAAGAAAGGGTGTAACTTTGAGGTGAATCTATTCAAAATATTTTTTAATCTGCAAATACATTTCAAAATAAACAAAGATATCGGTATGATGATCAAACCTTTTTTTTTTTAATTCTTCACATACTAAAGTATGAAATAGAGTTTAAGAGATCTTGAGAATAGATCTCCCATCATATTAATCCTATCATCAAAATCATCTTATAGAAAAGTTTATCATAATTAGACTTTATTTCTATTGATCGATAACAATAATAAAAAATCTGTAATAAAATTTAAAAAGTATATATGTTTAAATTATTTATAATAATTTAATTTAAAAAATATAGAAATACTATAAGCTTAATAAGAAAATAAAAAATACTAATAAAAAATACCATTGTAATAATAAAAATATATAATATATTAATATATATAATGTTCACATAGTATTATTCTTATGAAATAGTATTGCTATCTTTCGGTATATAAACTTTAATTATAAAGATATCCAAAATAATATCATCATATCCCATTGTAGATATTTTTTTAGGTTAAATATTAATTTTTAATATTATTAAAGTCTAATTCTATAATATAATTTTATAAATTTATTAGTCTAGACAACTTTGATGGTTACAAAACTAATACAATAATATAAATTAGTTTTTAAGTATCTTGAAAATGATAAAATATTTATTATAGTCATAAGCTCGATCATTCTAAGTCACTTTGATTACTTTCAGTTAGATAAAATTTAGAAATATAAATTATAAAAAATATTCACTAAAATTTTTAAATATAATTTATATAGAAATAATTCAATAATAATAAAAATAATAATCATAATAATTATTAAAATATTAATTGATATAAAAAACTAAATGCATGTGAATAATATCATATCTTTATTTAAAAATATGACAAATATTATTAAAGTGAATAATCACATAATTCACATAAAACATATCTTTATGTAAAACTATGATCATGAAAAAACATAAATCATATCTTTATATAAAAAATAAATATTTTTTATATTTTTTAATATGCATGTGAATAATCATATAAATATTTAAAAATAATAAATAAATATTAAGTGACAAGAAAAGAATACCAAGATTTTATATGAAAAAATATTTTAAAAAATTAGGCTGCTCTATTTAATTTGGCAGCCTAAATTGAGCCATAACGAGTTTGGTAGCTCAGAAGTGGGCACAACAATTAGTCCAATGAATCAAACCAATCAATATTGGACGTCAAGATCAGAATTAACTGACGATCAAAATAAGGTTATGATTGTGGTCAAAAACAAGTCCGACCCAAATCAATAAACTTATCAAAATCTGAAGGGGAAAGATCTGGTCAAAATCAATGTTGACGTAATTTAGTCCAAAATTAAGCCTTCCCTATATTAAATCAAAATCGAAGTTGACCGGGTCAAAATTTAGGTCAAAATTAAATTTAGGGCATGATTCCATTTTGACCAGTCAAAATCTCTTGCCCACGAGCCCCCGCGTCTCCCTCGTCTTCTTCGCGAATTGCTTCCACCGTGGCATCGCCGACTGTGACTTCACGGACGGTCGATCCTCATCGCGCCACCTCCGCTGCACTGCCGCCAGTGGGCTATGTCGCCATCTGCGACCGCTGACAAATCGCGATTACACCACCGAGCGCCGCCAACACCTCGCAGCCCCCGGCTGCTGCCTAAAGACCTCGTCGTCGCTCACCGCCTCCTGCACCCGACCCACCTGCGGGCCATGACAAATCCATCAGCCCCGGCCGTGGCCAAGCGCGCGGCCGAGTCCCACTGCCGCGATGCTGCTCCGCCGAGCAAAAGGGGAGAGTCCGACCACCGTCGCCCATTCCGTCTGCGATCCGCTTGCGTCGAGCACCACCGATGCGGTCCACCACCGCGATTCACACAGCCCTCAATCGAGCCGCCGTTCTCATCTGTCCACAGCAGCAATCAGGCGACCACCGGCGACGTCACCATCGTCCTCGGCAGCGCCTCCTCACTGTGACTTATTCGCCGCATGGCCGACGCGCGACCTCCTCACAGCCGCGCCAGCGCGCCCTCGTTGACGACGCATCATCGTCGGCGGATCGCCCTCAGCAGCGGCTCCTTTCTTCTTCCGATAGTTCACCGTGGCTTCCTTATCGCGGGGGGATTGCTAATGCGGCCGATCCTCACCACGACACCTCCGTCGGTC